AATAGAATTTGATGTTCTAGAATTGAAGGACATGAGTTTTTGTTTCCAGCTAGAGCCTTTCCTCAGATTGTCAGGTTTTACTCTGAAATGTTGGTTCTTGGTGTGCTCATGGCCAAAGAATGACCAGACACACCAAAGTAAGGCAAGCACAAAAATGATGTTAATTGAGGAGAGAAAGATAGGATTATAGGGCAAGAGCAAGGTGCAGGATTACAGAGCATGATACATACACCAGAGATGATGACCAGACCCATTGTCGCAGCAAAGGGAGAGCAGAAGGAAGAGCGCAAAAAGGGGGTTGGTTATGGTCTCAGTTTTGTTTTATAGTGCACGGATTGGGACCTCTCCGTGGCTCAGATGTCACCGTGGAACCACTTTGATTAGACAATTGGGAGTTGCATGACCTGAGTCTTAACTATACATGCAGGTTGTTCTAGTTCAATTTCTGGACTCTATGGTACCTATGCAGCTTGGCCTGTGGGCTAGAGACCCTCTGCATTCTTTTGGAGCTGGCACGCTAAGTTATAATTGGCCGATTCGTACAGTATTCCGCCTTCCCCCAGGTATGGCAGTAGCTCAGGACAGGATCAAAGTGGGGCAGGACCAAGATGGGGGCCTGGGGCCCACCCTTGGCCTTCTTCCAGGTGGGGCAATTGCACCCAGGCAAAGTGCCCACTTTCGTCCCTAGGAAACCCGGAATCCCTTGCTAACTACCTCACAGAATGTCTGGTGGTCCTTGACTGTATTGAAGAACGAGGCACTAAATATCTGACTGGGAGCTTTAATAAGAGGGTGGGCCTTATGTACTGGACCTTATATCAGCAATCTCCAACCTTTTTGGCACCAGGGACCAGTTTCACGGAAAACAATTTTTCTGGGGAGTTGGCGGGGGGTGTGGTGCAGAGCTCAGGCAGCGATACAAGCAATGGGGAGCAGTGATGTGGGAAATGAAGAGTGGCTGTAAATACAGATGAAGCTTAATTCCCTCGCTGCAGCTCACCTCCTGCTGTGTGCTCAGTGCCTAAGTTTCATGGAAGACAATTTTTTATGGGGCAAGGTTGGAGGTGGTGTGGGATGGGGAGACAGAGCTCAGGCGGTGATGCGAGGCCCAGTCCCTAACAGGCCATGAGCAGGTACTGTGCCATGACCCAGGGATTGGGGACCACTGCCCCATATTACAGTGTGGTGATTGGACAAGATTATCTAGCTATTTTGTTGCCAACTCCTAAATGTCTGTATTTGTAGACCTTTATTCTTGTGCCTTCAGTCTCCCCAGAAATTTGTTTAAACTCCTGGTTGGGTGGGTAGAAACTTGCTGTGGCACCCAGCAGAGTGTGATGGCTAAGGAGTCCCCCACTGTTCAATATGTAGCTTTGACGTAAGTATCTGTTTCCACCAAGGTAGGGTACTTAATCTGAACCTCAGCTGAGTTTGGTACCTAAGTGAGGGTTTTGTTTTGGGGTTTATCCTCCCCAGATGGTACACTTCCCATCTTCTGTGGGGGCAGAAGAATATGGGGGTGGGTGGGTGCTATCTCCAAAGACGTGTACACATTTCTTTAGTTGTTAGTCCCACTCCCACACCCCCTCCTGCAAGGTAACTGCATGCTTATAATTTCTGAGCCTTTCTGGGATTCTGCTGAGAGAATCTGCATATTTGGCCACTGCTTCTACCAGATTTCTTGAGAAGGTTCTCATTTGTCTGTTTCCATCCAGGGTTTTTAAAAACTCTTTTCGCTGTCATATTTTTTCCCATCCTGTTTGTCCTGTGAATTTATTTATATTATTTTATTTTTTAAAAGTGAGATGGGGACTTGCTATATTGCCCAGACTGGTGTTGAGCTCCTGGGCTCAAGTGATCCTGCTGCCTTAACCTCTCGAGTAGCCAGGACTATAGGCATGTGCCATAGTGCCCAGCTAAGTGAATTTATTTCTCTTAAACTTTGTTTTGCTATGCTTTTAGTGAGGCTTCACGAAGAGATAGCGGTAAATGTACACATAAACCCTAACCTTAAAGAATTCATCCATTCAGTCATTTGAATGGCACAAATACTATGAGCCTAGTACTTTTCTTGTTGTTGGGAGGTAACATAATACATAAAACAGACAAATGTTCCTTCCCTCTTGGAGTTTAAATGCTAGTGGTGAAGACAGACACTAATCAAGACAAATAGAGGTATAGTATATTAGATAGTGATGAGTGTTAAAGAGAAAAATAAGAAAGGGACATGGGTAGGAAATACTATGTGGAAAGTTGTAATCTTTTTAGGTAGATTGCCATGGAAGGCTTCATTGAGAAACAGCCATTTGAGTAAAGATCTTAAGAAGTGAGAGAGCTGATCATGAGGATATTTGGGGGAAGGACATTACAGGGAGAGGGAGGAGCCAGTACAAAGGCCCTGAGGCAGCAGCCGTGCCCTGCATGACTGAGGAACAGCATGTCTGAGGATCCGAGTATGGCTGGATCACGCTGTAAGGACTGGCTTTTATATGGAATGAGGTTGCAGGGTTTTGAGCAGAGGCATTATTTACAACAGAGCCACTGTGGCTACTGTGTGGCGAACAGTCTAGGGAGGCAAGGGCAGAGGCAGGGAGACCAGGAAGGAGGCTGTTGCAGTATTCTAAGCCACACAGAAATATTGAGTGGCTGGACTCTGGATTTGCCGATGAATTGAGATGTGGGATGTGAGAGACGAATAACCGAGATTATTTTAAGGTTCACGACTCCTGTGGGCTTTTGAAACTGTAGAACTTAGGTGTCAATATAAGTGGTATCCAGTCTGTTAAATGAATACTTTGCTAAAGAATAGCCACAGAACTATTTTAAGACATTTTGCTTTACAAACTATAACTCTTCTTTTTTTAAAGCTCTTCACAGAATATGGTCGTCTGGCAATGGATGAAATTTTCCAAAAACCCTTCCAGGTAGAATATTAACTGTGGATATAATTCGTGTCTTCGTTTTAGTTCATACATCAGCAAACTACAGCTCACAGACCAAATCTGGCCTGCCACCTGCTTTTATATGACCTGTGAGCTAAGAATGGTTTTTACATTTTTAATGGTTGAAAAAACACGAAAAGAGGAATATTTCATAACATAAATTATCTGAAATTCAGATGTCAGTGTCCATAGCTAAAGTTTTAGTGGAACACAGCCAAGCTCATTTGTTTATGTGTTGTCCGTGGCTGCTTTCCTGCTGCAACAGCAGAGTTGAGTAGTTGCTTAAAATACTTTACTCCTTGGCCCTTTACAGAAAATGTCCACTGACCTCTGCTTTAGTTAATTGTTTCTTGAAAGCGCAGCAACCTCAATGAGCTGAGAGGTGCTGTCACTATGTGAGTGGGTTTCTTTATCTTTCTAATAGTAAAAGCACATCTGATATGACGAGCTGGTGCTATGTGGTTTCTGTTTGTTCTTTATGACATTCCCCGTACTTACCTTTAGGGCAGAGCCCTGAATTTAACATTTTTTCATTAATCTCTTCCTTTTGTTCCTACTAACCTGTGGGAACAAAAATAGCAGATGGGATATGTTGGCCTCACATTTGGCTTAAATATGTCTTTCTAGTATTTATAAAGACAGTACAGAGTAGATAAATCCTTTAGTACGTTTCCTTGCTCCCTTTGCTGAAGCTGGCATTATGTAAAGAAGAATGGCAGCTGTTGTCCTAAGAATGTGTTCAAGCATTGTTACAGTATGTTCTGCTCTTTTCCTAACTAGACACTGATGTTTTTGGTTCGAGACTGGAGTTTCCCTTACGAATACAACTATGGACTACAAGGAGGAATGGCATTTTTGGATAAGCGTTTACAGGTAAGTGGAATATAATTTTCTAAGGAATTATCTAAAAGTAGTGATAGCTTTCTCATTTGCCTTTGGCTTTTGTATTCAGAGCAGATTATTGAAAATGATATTGAGTGTGTTAAATATATACATATGAATTTTAACACAAACTAATATTATTTGTTCTTGGTAGGATTAAAGAACCTGGATATGTAATGCACAGGGACTGTACACTTGATCTTAGCCAAAAGGCCAAGAAGCAATGCACAGGGACTGTAGGAAAGAACTCTGGGCAAAAGCCCAAGCTTTGATTATAATTTTCATTTCACATTTTAAAACCAGATTCTATGTGTGCCTTTTGAAATCTCATTCAGAATTTTAGTTCTATTGTTCTTATTCATAATTCTTACTTGTTTTGGGTTACAGATAGGCCCAGCCTGTTCTCTAAAACCAGAACACAGGAGTCCTTTGCCAGTTACTACTAAGGGATTAGATCCTTCAAGCCCGCAAACCTTCCCATGTTCTTCCTAAGTATTGTACAATACTCTTTTTTTAAAGAAACTCTTTAGTACCTGTTGTTAGCTATAGGAGTCAAGCCATGGGTAATCAAAATTACACATTTATTGCTTCTTAGGGTTTTGAGTTTTCTTATTTGGCCAGTATAATCCATCAGAGTTGGGGAGACTTCTTTCCTTTGTCATCATGCTAGTTGTTTCCAGTGAAGAAAACCAAATGGTTTTTGGTTGCTAAATTCTTGGTTTTTATTGGCAGGTGAAGGAACATCAACATGAAGAAATTCAGAATGTTCGAAATCACATTCACTCATGTTTCTCTGATGTCACCTGCTTTCTCTTACCACATCCAGGACTCCAGGTGGCCACAAGCCCTGACTTTGATGGGAAATTGAAAGGTGTGTTACAGATGGTATTTTAAACATGTGATTTGATCTTTGTAGTTAAAGAACAATGAATCAATTATGAATTGAATGCTTAAGAGAAATAGTGTAGTCTCTCAGTATTTATAATCTAGCTCAGATTTTGTTCCTGACTTACTGTGACCATTTGAATTAGTTTACCTTGGCTCCTGCATCTGAGATGGTGGTGGTAATATCCATGAATAATCTAATCTAAGAGACTTGTTATGGTTTTTGGTTTATAAGAGATACAAATGCTAACTCAAGGAGACTAAATATAAGTCAGCTCACATTTATCAAGTAAAATTAATTTCCCAAGGAGAGGTAGCATGATGCATGGCAGAGCTATTATTTTCGTTTTATTTGTAATTATAGCAAAACGTGATGCTGGGTCATGTGCTAATGTCAGGAAGTGCTGACTAGAGGGCAGGTGAGAGGAATCAGAGTAGGGACTCTTGGGCTCCATTATCTTAATCTTCTTCCTTATTCATCAAAGCCGTGAGTCATTTAATGGCTGGTCTTAAGTTTACATATGTGTTAAACTGAGCACTTCTGTTTATAAACTTATCTGAGCTTCTGAGATTCCTGGTAAAGTGGTAATAATAATAGTTGCCATTTTTAGAGGCCTAGTTGAGTTTGCAGCACTATGCTAGGTACTTTCAAACTTGTGTCACCAGTAGTTCCATGAAGTTAATCTTACAGGTGAGGACACTGGCAAAAATAGTTAAGGGAAAGGAGGAATGTTAAGTTGCTCAAAGTACTCAACTAATTAGTGAGGAAATAAATGGTGGGGCATAGATACACATTTAGATTCTTACTGCCCCAGGCCATACTATGCTAAAGTAGTAGTAGTTCTTCTCTTATATGGGGGAAGCCATTTAGAGGATATGTACTGCTTAGTTGCCAGGGAACATACCTTTTGAAGTGGAAGGTTTTCTTTTTTTGAGACAGAATCTCACTCTGTTGCCCAGGCTGGAGTGCTGTGGTGTTAGCCTAGCTCACAGCAACCCCCAACTCTTGAACTCAAGTGATCCACCTGCCTCAGCCTCCTGAGTAGCTGGGACTATAGGCGCTCACCACCACACCTGGCTAATTTTTGATATTTTAATAGAGACAAGGTCTCGCTCTTTCTCAGGCTGGTCTCGAACCCCTGAGCTCAAGCGATCCTCCCGCCTTGGCCTCCCAGAGTGCTAGGATTACAGGTGTGAGCCACTGTGTCTGGCCAAAGTGAAAGGTTTTGATAGTCTCATGTTTTGTTTTTTTTTTTTTTTTTTTTTTAGACACAGATTCTGGCTCTGTTGCCCAGGCTAGAGTGCCGTGGCGTCAGCCTAGCTCACAGCAACCTCAAACTCCTGGGCTCAAGCAATCGTCCTGCCTCAGCCTCCCGAGTAGATGGGACTACAGGCATGCACCACCATGCCCGGCTAATTTTTTCTATGTATGTATTTTTAGTTGTCCAGATCATTTCTTTCTATTTTTAGTAGAGACGGGGTCTTGCTCTTGCTCAGGCTGGTCTCAAACTCCTGACCTTGAGTGATCCACCTGCCTCGGCCTCCCAGAGTGCTAGGATTACAGGCGTAAGCCACCATGCCCGGCCTCATATCCTCATGTTAAATATAAAATGCATCATTTTCAATTTATTTGATCCAAGAAAATGAATATACTTGTTCAACTCAAGGTTTACATTCCAGGTGGTTTTAATATTACAAAAGAAACTTGAATTTGAGAGACTTAACCTTTATCTCTGTTGGTCACTTGTCTGATATTTTTAAGTGTTTGGCAGCTTTCCTGAAAAGGAGACTTCCGGAGCCTGTTATATGGCAATTTTAAAATCCAAGGAGAGGGCTTGGCTTTGGGAGAGAAATCTGCTTAGGCAAGCACTGGAACAGGAACCTTTTACCTAAAAAGCAGTTTGGGCTGGGCTTGGTGGCTCATACCTGTAATCCGAGTACTTCGGGAGGCCAAGGTGGTTTGAGACCAGTTTGGGCAACACAGCAAGATTTTGTCTCTTAAAAAAGAATAAAATAAAAAAGAAATTAGCTGAGTGAGGTGGCACACACCTGTAGTCCAGAGGCTGAAGGAGGAGGATTGCTTGAGTCCAGGAGTTTGAGGTTACAGTAAGCTGCGATGGCACCACTGCACTCCAGCTTGGGGTGACAGAGTGAGAGACCCTGTATGTTAAAAAAAAAAAAGAAAAAAAGCAGTTGCTGGGGAGTTTTCAGAGTTGAGTAGGGAGAGAACTTTTAGGGTTATAATGCTCCATTATTAGTCATACTTTTACCTAACTTCAACTCAGATTTGTTTATCACTGATAGGGAAAATGTCCAATTTAATTCTTAAATGGAAAATGTTTAGGAGAGGGTGTTCTTTTTGTTTCAAAGTGGTCTCAGATTATCAGGTATAAACTTTCAAAAATGGTATTCTTCCATATTTTAAATCATTTTAATATTTCAGTGCATCCTATTTGAAAATTTAGTTTCATTTTTACCATGTTATTCAAGAAATAGAGGTTTTTTTAATAAGTTCTATAAACCTGACTTTTGAAATTTTGTGTCACTTTTGGGAATGCATATTATATTAATTTCCTGTGGCTGCCTTTAACAAATTACCACAAACTGAGTGGCTTAAGACGAGAGATTTATTTCCTCAGAGTTCAGGTACCAGAAATCCAAAATCATGATTGGTTCCTTCTGGAGGCTCTGAGGGAGAATCTGCCCCATGCACTCTCCTAGCCGTTGGTAGTTGCTGGCAATCCGTGGCATTCTTTGACTTGTCCCCGTAGTTGCCTCTAATCTCTCTCTTCGTCATCCCATGGCTGCCTTTTCTGTGCGTTCTCTCTTCTTCCTGTAAGCACACCAGTCTTTGAATTTAGAGCCCACCTTAATCCAGTATGACCTCAGCTATTAATAATTACATTTGCAAAGACTATTTCCAAATAAGATCACATTCTGAGGTTCCAGGTGGACATGAATTTTGGGGGAGGGGGTGACATGGTTCAACCTCACTATGCGTATATATAGATTAAAAGTAGTTTAATCACTAAATATTAAGTGTGCTAAGTTTCATATTTATTATATTTATAAAATATGGAACAAATTCTGTATAAACAATCTTTTTTTTTTGACTGCAAGTCTTTTGAGCAAATACAGAAACAATCTTTTTTTTTGACTGCAAGTCTTTTGAGCAAATACAGAAACAATCTTTTTTTTTGACTGCAAGTCTTTTGAGCAAATACAGAAACAATCTTTAATCTCATAATTGTGTACTATTTCGTTTCCTCATTCAGGATAGAACTATAAAGTACATTTTTAGGCTGGGCGCGGTGGCTCACGCCTGTAATCCTAGCTCTGTGGGAGGCCAAGGCGGGCGGATTGTTTGAGCTCAGGAGTTTGAAACCAGCCTGAGCAAGAGCGAGACCCCGCGTCTACTAAAAATAGAAAGAAATTAATTGGACAACTAAAAATATATAGAAAAAACTAGCCGGGCATGGTGGCGCATGCCTGTAGTCCCAGCTACTCAGGAGGCTGAGGCAGGAGGATCGCTTGAGCCCAGGAGTTTGAGGTTGCTGTGAGCTAGGCTGACGCCACGGCACTCTAGCCCGGGCAACATAGTGAGACTCTGTCTCAAAAAAAAAAAAAAAAAAAATACATTTTTAGGGTTTCAATCTTCCTTTCTTACGTGAAAAAGCAAGTCCAAAAAGAAGAAATACAAATGGTCAGGCTATATTAAAGAAAATATATGCAGCATCACAATAATCAAAAAAGCACAAAAACATTCATATAAATTATAGCTTTTATGGATAGTAATGTGACAGTACCAGAATTAAAAATGTTTATATTTCTTGATCCAGTATTCCACTTTTAGGAGTTTATCCTAAGAAACTGTACAAATAAGTGGATAAAAATATATGTGTGGGGATATTTGCTACTGTAGTGTTATTATAATAGTAATTAGAAACAGCCCTAATGTATGTTTATGAGGCATTGGTTAAATTATGGTACATCTGCACAAAGGAATAAAATGCAGTCATTAAAAAGGATAAGGCAGATAGGTGAATCTATATGTATTTACATAGAAAGATGTCTATGATACATTATTAAATGTAGAAAAATTACAGAATAGCATATGTGGCATGATCCTATTTATTTAAAAAATATAGGCCAGGCACAGTGGCTCATGCCTATAATCCTAGCACTTTGGGAGGCAAAGATGGGAGGATTGCTTGAGGCGAGGAGTTCGAGAGCAGCCTGAGCAAGAGCAAGACCATGTCTCTACAAAAATATAGAAAAATTAACTGGGAATGGTAACATGCACCTGTAGTCCCAGCTCCTCGGGAAGCTGAGGCAGGAGGATCACTTGAGCCCAGGTGTTTGAGGTTGCAGTGAGCTGTCATAAAGCCACTGTACTCTAGCCCGGCTGACAGAAAAAAATATGTGTGTGTGTGTGTAAATTTATAAGTAGTTTTTAAAATGGAACTGTTTGAAAAATAAAAAAGTCCTTTTTTGCCTCACTTAAAAAATATATTGGCCAGGCGCGGCGGCTCACGCCTGTAATCCTAGCTCTCTCGGAGGCCGAGGCGGGCGGATTGTTTGCG